GGATGGAGAGAGCCAGAAGCCCAGAGGGAAGTCTCCCAGGGCACGTTTGCCCAAAGCAACGGCTCCTTGGGATCTAAGCCTGAATTCACATCAAAAAGGTAGCCTGGCTAACATGGCTAAACCCTGTCTCTACCATAAATACAAAAATTAGACCAGGCGCAGTGGCTTACACTTCTAATCCCAGCACTTTGGGAAGCCAAGGCGGGTGGATCACTTGAGGCCAGGAGTTCGACCCTGGCCAACTTGGCAAAACCCCATCTCTACTAAAAATACAAAAAATTATCCAGGTATGGTGGGGTGCGCTGTAATCTCAGCTACTCGGGAAATTGAGGTAGGAGAATCTCTTGAACCCGGGAGGCGGAGGTTGCAGTGAGCTGAAATTGCACCACTGCACTCCAGTCTTGGCAATGGAGTGAGACTCTGTCTGTAAATAAATAAATAAATAAAACACAAATACAAATACAAAACTTAGCCGGGTGTGGTGGTGCACTTCTGTGGCCCTAGCTGCCTTGGAGGCTGAGATGGGAGGATCGCTTAAGCCCAGGAGGCAGAGGTTGCAGTAAGCTGAGATTGTACCACTGCACTCCAGCCTGAGTGACAGAGAGTGAGCCCGTCTCAAAAAAAAAAAAAAAGAATAACTAATGGATGAGATTTAGAGTTTGGTGAATTTTAATTGATTTCTAAAAAATAAAGGAAGAGATGTGTAGTGTGGCCAAAAGAGCCCCAAGCCAGAGTTCCTGAGGCCCCAGCCACAGGCCAAGTCATCTCCTCTTCCTCAGTCTCAGGGTCCTCTTCTGTATGAGGAGGTGACAGACTACAGACTAGGTGACTGTTGAGTGCCTTTCAGTTTAAAACTCGACGATTCCATGAACGTTTCAATAGGAGCAATAAAGTGACTACAACGGCAACTTTAGGTTACACCAGGCTCTGTGCTTCAACTCCTGATGTTTCCATCATGACCCCGGGTGAGCTCCCTCAGCCGGCTCCAGTGAGGTTCCTGCAAACCTGCAGTCACCCCATCCCTTTGGGTACATGCTGTCCTAGGTCTGCTCTTCAGCACTAACGAGATCTTTGCAGGAATGCTGGTTTTTCATTCCGGATTTCAGCGCCTGGAATGAATGGAAGTTGGGGGCCTGGTTTGAGAATCATGCTACCTGCCCGATGACATGCGATACTGAAAACGGCCAAACGCTGAACTTCCCGCAAGATCACCTGTGTCCAGCATCTAGTCCTCCCTCTCAGCTACCCCAAGAACCAGGCATCAACACCAGTCCCAAGGGTACAGCCCTGTCACACCCAAAGGCTGGTAAAAACCGAAGTGCCCCAAAATAGAGAACAACTTCAACACCTCCTGATGTGTGCAGGGGAGCAGCACACAGCCGTGAATGTAGACGAGGTAGATGTAGATGTCCTGACATTGAAGGATGTTCCTTGAATAATGTTAAAGAACAAAGCAAACTACAGAAGCGTGTGTTGAGTGTGATCCCATTTTGTCTGCTGTTTACTTATAGGCATATGTAAATATGTGTTCATGTGTAAACTCATATGAGTGTAAAGAAGTATCTGGAAAAATAAGCAGTAAATCATTTACAGTGGATACCCCCGGGATACATATGGGGTGGGTTTCACTCTTTCCTTGGATTATATTGAATGGCTTAAATTTTGTCAATGAATGCCACATGATAATATTTCTTTAAAGCCTGGTATTCACAACTATCTAGTATAAAAGTACACATGGCCGGGTGCAGTGGCTCACGCCTGTAATCCCAGCACTTTGAGAGGCCAAGGCGGGTGGATCACGAGGTCAGGAGATCGAGACCATCCTGGCTAACACGGTGAAACCCTGTCTCTACCAAAAATACAAAAATTAGCCAGGCGTGGTGGCGGGCAACTGTAGCCCCAGCTACTCAGGAGGCTAAGGCAGGAGAATGTCATGAACCCAGGAGGTGGAGCTTGCAGTGAGCAGAGATCCCGCCACTGCACTCCAGCCTGGGGGAGAGAGCGAAAGTTTGTCTCAAAAAAAAAAAAAAAAAAAAAAGTACACATATTGACCAGGCACAGTGGCTCATAACTGTAATCCCAGCATTTTGGGAGGCCAAGGTGGGCAGATCGCTTGAATCCAAGAATTTGAGACCAGCCTGGGCAACATAACAAAACCCCATCTGTACAAAAACACAAAAATTATCCGACATGGTGGCACATGCCTGTAGTCCCAGCTACAGGGAAGGCTGAGGTGGGAGCACCAATTCAGCCCGGGAGGTTGAGGCTGCAGTGAGCCATTATCACACCACTGCACTCCAGCCTGGGCAACAGAGTGCGACTCTATCTCAAAATAAATAAATAAATAATACGCATATCTTCTGTAGCCAAAATTAGCATGCTTCATCCAGGCCCTACTATCAAAATCTCACTATCTGAGGTCCCACTATCTAAGGTTACTTAGGAAGTGGGACACTTCAAAACACATCTTACATTTCTAAGTCTCTCTAGGAGTGTGACAGGTACTGACCATTTTTTAAGCTATCAGACATGATAAGCCCTTTTTTTTTTCTTTTCTGAGACTTACTTTTTTGAGACAGAGTCTCACTCTGTCGCAAGGTTGGAGTAGAGTGGCACAATCTCGGCTCACTGCAACCTCCGCCTCCCGGGTTCAAGCAATTCTCCTGCCTCAGCCTCCCAAGTAGATGGGATTACAGGCACCCGCCACCAAGCCTGGCTAATTTTTGTATTTTTAGTAGAGACGGGGTTTCACCTTGTTGACCAGGCTGGGCTCCATCTCCTGACCTCAGGTGATCCACCTGCCTCGGCCTCCCAAAGTGCTGGGATTACAGGTGTGAGCACCCAGTCGACAGCCCTCTTTTTAAAATATATCCCTGGTCCTCAAAGGCAGTTAAAGCTGTGAGCCACCTATAATAGCTGTAAATTAAAGCTTGAATAAGATTTCACCTGGGTGTGTTTCTAAAGTAAGAATCCTTAGGAATGTATTATTAAGAGGGGCCAGAGGCAACAGCAATGGAGTCATCGCCTTCCTTAACATGTCTGCTTAATATTCAAAAATAAATGTGATCATACAACTCCTTTACATGAATGATCTCCGCCAATCCATACTGTGGGACCAACGCCAGACAGCCTCCCAGTAAGAAGAGGAATCTAGATTGCAGGATGGGGGGCGGAGAAGAGATTTTAAAAATGGAGACATGCATTCCAAACCAAAGTAGTGGGATTATATTTGTTCAGGTCAGCTCTGAGCATCATGTGTCTTTTGTTTTGAGATGAAGTCTCACTCTTGTCGTCCAGGCTGGTGTGCAATAGTGCGATCTTGGCTCACTGCAACCTCTGCCTCCAGGGTTCAAGCAATTCTCCTTCCTCAGCCTCCCGAGTAGCTGGGATTATAGGCGCACACCACCACACCCAGCTAATTTTTGTATTTTTAATAGAGACGGGGTTTCACCATGTTGGTCAGGCTGGTCTTGAACTCCTGACCTCAGGCAATCCACCCGCCTTGGCCTCCCAAAGTGCTGGGATTACAGACGTGAGCCACCGCGCCCGGTCCATCATGTGTCATTTTTATAGCGTACGTAAGTGCAGGAAATGTTAGGAAGGTGTATGGACAATCTGAAAACCCAGTTACCCTTTAGTTAAAAGTGTGGATCAGTTAGCTAGAAAACACCTGTGCACGACTGGGCACGGTGCCTCATGCCTGTAATCCCAGCACTTTGGGAGGCCGAGGCAGGCGGATCACCTGAGGTCGGGAGTTCGAGACCAGCCTGACCAACATGGAGAAACCCCGTCTCTACTAAAAAAAATTACAAAATTAGCTGGGCGTGGTGGCACATGCCTGTAATCCCAGCTACTCGGGAGACTGAGGCAGGAGAATCGCTTGAACCCGGGAGGCAGTGGTTCCGGTGAGCCAAGATCGCACCATTGCACTCCAGCCTGGGCAACAAGAGCAAAATTCCGTCTCAAAAAAAAAAAAAAAAAAAAAAAAAAAAAAAAAAAAAAAAAAAAGAAAGAAAGAAAAGAAAAGAAAAGAAAGAAAGGAAAGAAAAAGAAAATACCTGTGCACACCAACACAAACGAAAGGATGTTGTGTGACTTACAAAAACCTCACAAGAAGGGGTCCTTTGAGTCTCCCCTCGCCTTGACCCCTTGCTACTCACAATGAGATCAGCAGACACACAGTATCTGACGGGCAGCATCCACCACAGGAGGACTTCTCAGAAATGCCGAATCTCAGGACCCGTCCCAGAGCGACGGAAAGAGGGCACACGTCTTACCAAGACCCCCAATGATTCCGGTGCCCAGTGACGTTCGAGATGCACCCCACAGAGCATTCGAAACCATTCTACAAACAACTTTTGAGCTTTCCACTATTTGGGTGGGGGCTGCACACACCGTCATTGCAAATGGATAAGGGTTTTGAAGCCCTGGGTGTTTCCTCTTTCTGGCACAGCATGGCAACGGTCCCAGCAAGGGGCAGCCCACGGGAGCTCCTCTGCACACCAGGCTGCTGCTCCTAAAGGCTCTGGACACACAGGAGACCTCCAGCCTGCTTGGGAGGGGGACACTCGCTCCTAACAAGCCTCGTTTCGGGTCAGAGACACTGGACTAGAAACCTGACTTGGGCGCCTCATCACAGAAAGAGAGAAAGAAGAGATGGGGACGGAAGGCACCTGAGCCAGCACTTCCTGTCTGAGGCCAGGGCGGGTATGACGGGCAGGCCAGGTGCCGGCTGAGAGGGGCACGAGGATGGAATCCGGCGTGCACCTGCGAGACGGACCCCCAGGTGGCCCCTCCAAGGTCAAGGGAGGGGGTGAGAACTTGAGTGAGGCTGAGCCAGCTTCCGCAGAGAGGGGCCACCAGACGCAGAGCGAGAGAGGCGCCCGGACATCAGACGGACAGACAGAGGCTGACGCAGGAGGACCAGAGGGCCCAGCGCCGGACAGGCTCCCCGGGCGGACAGACAGACAGACAGACGGGCCCCGCCCGAGGCGACTCACAGGTGCGCGATGCCGGCCTTGCGCACCGCGGAGGAGATGGCTTTGACGGCCGTGCAGAGCGAGTTGAGCAGCTGGGTCAGCTCACCCGTGCCGCGGGCCTTCCTGCCCTCCTCCATGACGAAGCGGGTCAGGGTGTTGACGTCCGTGTCGAAGGGCGCCTGGTCAGCCATGCTGGGGCCGGGCCGCGGGGCGGCAGGTGCGGGGGCAGGTGCGGCGGCAGGTGCGGGGGCAGGTGCGGCGGCAGGTGCGGGGGCAGGTGCGGCGGCAGGTGCGGGGGCAGGTGCGGGGGCAGGTGCGGGGGCAGGTGCGGCGGCAGGTGCGGGGGCAGGTGCGGCGGCAGGTGCGGGGGCAGGTGCGGCGGCAGGTGCGGGGGCAGGTGCGGGGGCAGGTGCGGCGGCAGGTGCGGGGCGGGACCTGGCGGGAGGACGGACAGACCGACTGCGGCCCCGAGTGTCCGCGGCGCTCGCGGTGAGACTGGGCCAGGCCCGGCGCGGGCGGGTGAACCGGGAACCTTTAGCCGCGGGTCGGCCCCGCCCCCGCCCCCGGGAACACCCCGCGCCGCCTCCCGCCGCCCAGCCCGCGGCTCCGCCCGCCGGATCTTCGGACCCTTCCCGCGCCGCCCCCGCAGCCTCCGCGCCCTCCATCTGCGCTGCGGGGCGGGGCTCGGGCCGTCGGACCCGCCGGAGAGAAAAGCTGTTTCTTTGCCGGAGTTTCCTCCACAATCATGACGCAGAAGTTCACAGAGGTTGAGTAACTTGCTCAGCGCCCCAGTTGGGCAGCGAAACCCCCAGCAGCCCCCGCTCCGCAGACCCGCCCGCGCGGCCTCCTGCCCGGCCCCTGCCCAGGCCTGTCCACCTGCCCGTCCTGTCACTGCCCCCCTGTCCACCTGCCCGTCCTGTCACTGCCCCCCTGTCCACCTGCCCGTCCTGTCACTGCCCCCCTGTCCACCTGCCCGTCCTGTCACTGCCCCCCTGTCCACCTGCCTGTGCTGTCACTGCCCCCCGTCCACCTGCCTGTGCTGTCACTGGCCTCCTGTCCACCTGCCTGTGCTGTCACTGCCCCCCTGTCCACCTGGCCGTCCTGTCACTGGCCCCCTGTCCACCTGCCCGTCCTGTCACTGCCCCCCTGTCCACCTGCCTGTGCTGCCCCCCTGTCCACCTGCCTGTGCTGTCACTGGCCTCCTGTCCACCTGCCTGTGCTGTCACTGCACCCCTGTCCACCTGCCCGTCCTGTCACTGGCCCCCTGTCCACCTGCCCGTCCTGTCACTGCCCCCCTGTCCACCTGCCTGTCCTGTCACTGCCCCCTGTCCACCTGCCCGTCCTGTCACTGCCCCCCTGTCCACCTGCCTGTGCTGCCCCCCTGTCCACTGCCCATCCTGTCACTGCCCCCCTGTCCACCTGCCTGTGCTGCCCCCCTGTCCACCTGCCCGTCCTGTCACTGCCCCCCTGTCCACCTGCCTGTGCTGCCCCCCTGTCCACCTGCCCGTCCTGTCACTGCCCCCCTGTCCACCTGCCCGTGCTGTCACTGGCCCCCTGTCCACCTGCCCGTGCTGTCACTGCCCCCCTGTCCACCTGCCCATCCTATCACTGCCCCCCTGTCCACCTGCCCGTGCTGTCACTGGCCCCCTGTCCACCTGCCCGTCCTGTCACTGCCCCCCTGTCCACCTGCCCGTCCTGTCACTGCCCCCCTGTCCACCTGCCTGTGCTGCCCCCCTGTCCACCTGCCTGTGCTGTCACTGGCCTCCTGTCCACCTGCCTGTGCTGTCACTGGCCTCCTGTCCACCTGCCTGTGCTGTCACTGGCCTCCTGTCCACCTGCCCGTGCTGTCACTGCACCCCTGTCCACCTGCCCGTCCTGTCACTGGCCCCCTGTCCACCTGCCCGTCCTGTCACTGCCCCCCTGTCCACCTGCCCGTCCTGTCACTGCCCCCCTGTCCACCTGCCTGTGCTGCCCCCCTGTCCACCTGCCCGTCCTGTCACTGCCCCCCTGTCCACCTGCCCGTCCTGTCACTGCCCCCCCGTCCACCTGCCCGTCCTGTCACTGCCCCCCTGTCCACCTGCCTGTGCTGTCACTGGCCCCCCTGTCCACCTGCCCGTCCTGTCACTGCCCCCCTGTCCACCTGCCTGTGCTGCCCCCCTGTCCACCTGCCTGTGCTGTCACTGCCCCCCTGTCCACCTGCCTGTGCTGCCCCCCTGTCCACCTGCCCATCCTGTCACTGCCCCCCTGTCCACCTGCCTGTGCTGTCACTGGCCCCCCTGTCCACCTGCCTGTGCTGCCCCCCTGTCCACCTGCCTGTGCTGTCACTGCCCCCCTGTCCACCTGCCTGTGCTGCCCCCCTGTCCACCTGCCCGTCCTGTCACTGGCCCCCTGTCCACCTGCCCGTCCTGTCACTGGCCCCCTGTCCACCTGCCTGTGCTGCCCCCCTGTCCACCTGCCCGTCCTGTCACTGCCCCCGTCCACCTGCCCGTCCTGTCACTGCCCCCCTGTCCACCTGCCTGTGCTGCCCCCCTGTCCACCTGCCCGTCCTGTCACTGGCCCCCTGTCTACCTGCCTGTGCTGTCACTGCCCCCCTGTCCACCTGCCTGTGCTGCCCCCCTGTCCACCTGCCCGTCCTGTCACTGCCCCCCGTCCACCTGCCCGTCCTGTCACTGCCCCCCGTCCACCTGCCTGTGCTGTCACTGCCCCTCCGTCCCCGCTGGGACACACGGGTTCCCCGTTTCTCACCCATCTGAGGGCCCACGACGAAATCCTTAATCCAGGCCTCTTCTCAGGATTCCTGGAATTCAAGAGCTATTGAGGATCTGAGTTTCCAAGATGTGAACGGTCGGTCGCTGACACAGAGTCCGCCGCCGCCACACAAAGGCCGGAGGCTCCCCCCGCCGCATCCTAACCCCCGGTAGCCACGACGCTGCAACTCACTTGCTGATTCACGGAACAACATCTACTGAACACCTGCTGTGCTGAACACCGCCCCACCTTCCAGGGTGCAACGTGATCAACAGACAAAACTCCTGGCTGCTTCGAGTGTACGTTTTCACGGAGAAGCAGCAAAAATAAATACACAAACAATAGGTTAGTTTGTTACACGACCCATAAGTCCCGTAGAGAAGAACGAAATAGAAAGGAAGACAGGGAATGTGGAGGGGAGAAGAGGGTGAGCAGAGGCCTCAGTAGAAGCTTCTCTGAGAAAGGGACATGTGAGCAAAGAGGTGAAGGATGCGACACAGTGGAGATGGGGAGGAGAGCGTTTTCCTCACCGGGAGAGCCAGCGCACAGGCCCTGGGGTAGGAGAGCATGTATCAGGTTCAGGGAATGGCCAGGAGGCGGTGGAGCTGAAACAGAGCTAGCAAGGGGCCCAGGTGGAGGAGATAAGGTCCAGCTGGAGGATGCAGGGGTGAGGTCTGGAGGCCAAGTAAGGTTTGACTTTGACCAGGAGGAACCCACTGGAGAGTTTGGAGGAGAAGAGAGGCGTCGTCTACCCTGTGTCTTCATACTCCAGCTACTGTGTCAAGATCAGATTGAAGACAGTGCCCGCCAGGTTACTAGGAGATGGTGAGCCAGGTGTTAGCAGTGGAGGTGGTGGATTCTGGACATATTTTGAAGGTAGAGCTGATGGGATTCATTGACAGATGAGATATGTGAGAGATAGGAGTTTGGGATGATTCTAAGGTTTGAGGCCTGAGAAACTAGAAGAATGCAGTTGTCCGCAACTGCGATGGGAACACCAAGAGGGGCATGTGCTGGAGGCAGGACTGACGATTAGGAGCTAAGTGTGGGACCTGCTGAGTTTGAAATGCCTTCTAGACATCCAAGCAATGTCCAGTAGACAGATTTATGCATCCGGAGTTCAGAGGAGAGATCCATGCTGCAGGTATAAATTGGAAAAGCCAACTGGAAAAAACAACCAAAAACCAAGAGATGGCGATGTCCAGGAAGCCAGATGAAGACGGTTTGTCAAGCCAGGCAGAAGGATTGACTTGGATTGACTTGGATTGATCTTGGATTGACTAGGACGGCAAAAGTCATCTAGTCCAGCCAACCCTCACTGATTGGACGCCATCCCTGATAAGAGGTGAAGAGCTTGGGATCTGCATTAAGCAAACTTGTTTGAGTCCCAGCTCCAGCCCTCAGCAGCCAGAGATCTCGGGCCAGCTACCCAATCTCTCTAAACCCAGTTTGTTCATCCATATAGTGGAATGATGGTTCCGTCTGGCATTGTGTCATTGGGCTGAAATGAGATGGCACTGGCAGAGTGCTCAGCTCAGAGCTCCACACAAAGGACACACTGAATATGTGGAGGAGACCGCTGTCTAGCTCAGTCACTTCTGCCTGTCACCCACGATGATGGGCAGCTCATCCCCTACAAGGCAAGCCATTCCCCTTGGGACTAGGCCACGTCGCATGGCGGTGAAGTGCATAGACTCTGGGGCTGCATGACCTGGGTCCAAATCCTGGCCTGGCCACTTACTGGCTGTGCAATTCCTAAACCTCGCCAAGCGACCATTGGCTCGTCTGTAAACTGGGGCTAATGATTGTAGCCACCTCGCAGGGTGCTGGGAGAATTACACAGGCAGTGCTGGTCGTGTTTAAGAACAGTGCTCAGCATGGAGTAAGCACACAGTACGCAAGTGCTTGCTTCGTTACATGCGTAGGGCCAACTGTTGTTTTCGTGTGAACAGAAGCAAGAAAGTTCCCTGCCCATCAAAAGGGGCTGGAGGGATGTGGGAATTGGCAACTGAGCCTGTATTTGCCTGGTGTGCGATGGTATCCCCTCCATCATATTGGTCGCTTGTGACTCGCTCTTTTCTGGGTCAGGATGCATAAAGCCCAGCACCCAGGTGTTAGCCAGAGACAGAGGAAGGTGCGGGGTGGGAGGAAGGCGGCCGCCTTGCATGGGTTCCTGGCCTGTGAGATTGGCCCCTCCTCCTCCACCCACCACCCTCGCAGCGTTGCTTCTTGCCACACCAACTTCACACAGTACTGCAGATTCAAGTGATGTGAGCAATATTACCACGTGTGTAACACTGGAAATCCTGTGGAGAATCAGTGCTCATGCATTTCCTCACCTGGCTCCCACAATGGGGTTATGTTGGAGGCGGGCAGTGGAGAAGTAACAGTCTGGCCAGTCCCTGCCCCTACGCCAGCCGCCCTCAACCCAGGGCTCTGCTGCTTGCTTTTCCCTCTGTGGGGGCGGTTAGTGCCACAGGAAAGAAAAACAGGCCAGACA